CCAAAAAAAAAAAAAAAAAAAACTTTATTTCTGGTGCAGAGGGAGGGCGTGAGAAGACATGATGGGGGCAGTGATGCGAATGCGAGAGAATGCAACAAATATGTGAGCCGCCCCATGGGTTTGGGAAAAGCCTGGCTGCGCAGTGGCAGATGCCTGGGCCTTGCCTCGTTGAAACAGCCGAAGGGGGTAGGCAAGGCAAGGCAAGGCAAGGCAAGGCAAGGCAGTTGCGTCAAGATATGCAATAAATGAGGAGAGGCGGAGTTGGAAGGAATGGGATGTGAGACTTAAATGTTGACAACAACCACATTCAATTCAATGCCTTTCCATTTAACGCCCTCTCTCTCTCTCATTCCTTCATTTATTTCTCTAAACCCACACTACTATTCCCTACCCCTTTTTCATAGCCAACCATTTCAATCAGTATATCCATACATTTAATACTCCCATCTTTGTACTACCTATCCACGCTCCTTCCTTTAAATCCCATTCTCTTTTATTTTTTTAACATAAAAGTTTTACAGGGAATATGAAGTAAAAATGGAAGGTTATTGTTGAAAACATCTACTGTTACCAATTTATATGCATGAATGAAGGGAGGGGAGAGCGGGTTGTGAATTATTTCGTTGGTCATTATTATTTTTTAATATTTTTGGATTTTGCCCGTTTTATATGTTTTGGGGAATGGAATTTGGTTTGGCAGCATGGGTGTCAAAATGTAAGAGCGTTTTGTTTTGAATCTTTTCGCTGGCCAAAGGGATGGGAAACCTCTTATCTATGGTATCTGAATCGAAATCATGATTACAAGACGACGGAAACTGCTACCTAAGTAACTGAAACGCAGCACACGTACCTCTTGCTTTGCACATTACACAAACTGGATGTGCCTGTAACTCTGCTCAATTCACCCATGGCTGCTTCTTCTCCCACCTCCTTCATTTCCTCTTCTTCCTCTGCTACTCCGACACCCCACCGCCGCTCACGATCCCATTTCACGCCGGTGAGTGTTACTACCCGGATTTTCTAACATTTTGCCTCTTTGTTTGTTTGTTTGTTTGTTTGTTTCTCGGGAATTTCATCAGTTTTGTTGCAGATTCTAGAATGCGAGGAGGAAGAGCTGGAGGAGGATTTTGATGCTGAGAATCGGGTGGCAGCGTCGGACCGGGGAACTAGATTGAAGCACCACCCGACGACGCCGCTGAATCGGGCCGATGATCGGAGCAATAATGGGAAATCGGAAACGGTTAGGAAACGGTCCGAGTCGGAGTCGGATTCCGTGTCGAGTTCAGATGTAGTGTCGTGCGGCCGGTGCCGTCCTCACGCGAGGGAGAAGTTCTCCGTCGTTCCTCTAGATAACAACAATCGCGTTAATAAACAAACGTATTTCTCCATGCCGAGTCCTAATGGCATTTTCAAATCCCTAATTTCGTCGTTGACGCGGAAGAGTCCGAAAACTATTAACGAATCGTCGGCCTTAACGACTCGAGAAGAGCAATGGAGGGCCGCTTTGACGGAGCTCTCGCAGAAGCTGATGCAGACGACCAGGAAGAGAGACGAGGCTATTATAGAAGCCTCTAGATTAAGATACGCCATGGGCGAATTGGAGAGGAAATTGGACAAACTCGAATCGTATTGCCACAATTTGAAATCCGGACTCCAAGAGTGCAGCGCCGGCAATTCGCCTTGCCAAATTGGGAAGTATCATAAAATCCAGAGTTTTCACCAGACGAATCAGAAGCATGTAATCGAACATTTCTTAGTTTCGGTATCGGAATCTCGATCGTCGATCCGGTTTCTCAGCCGGTCACTCACTCCGCAACTCCGACACGTCGGAGCCAAAGTATACGAAGGAATTTCCGTTCTTCTTGAACCTTACGATGTCAAATTATCGTTCTCGAAGAACCCTAGAAGCTTGCTTTTCTACCTCGAAGCTCTGCTAAACCGAGCTTTCTTCGAGGACTTCGAATCGATAGGATTTCAGAAGAACGCCTCGACTCCGGTTCTTAATCCGATTGAAAGATGCGAAGCAAATTTCGGATGTTTCAATATCCTCCATGAATTAAAGTGGGAGGAGGTTCTAAACAAAGGAACGAAACATTTCAGCGAGGATTTCAGCCGGTTTTGCGACCGGAAAATGAGCGAAATCGTGGATATGCTGGGATGGAACAGAGTTTGGTCGGAGCCGCTGCTGCAGGCGTTCTTCAGCGCGTCGAAGAGCGTGTGGCTTCTGCACCTTCTGGCCAACTCCGTTAATCCAAATCTTCCGATGTTCAGAGTTGAGAAAGAAGCCGTTTTCGATTCCGTTTACATGGAGGACGTGAGCGGCGACAAGGCCGGAAAGCTAATTCCGTCGGTAGTGAGAATAATGGTCGCCCCTGGTTTCTACGTATACGGAAGCGTAGTTAAATGCAAGGTGTTGTGCAGGTATAACGCCGCCACAACCGCCGCCGACTTGTGACCGTGGCAATCCAATCTGGAGGTGGGAAAAAGAAAAATTTGTAGGAATCCAAACAGGAGATTTAGGTGGTTGAATTGGTATAATCAAAGTAGAACTTTAGAAACTTCTCTTTAGAAATTCTACTGTCTGTTCGCTATTTAGTGTTGAAGACGCTGAATAATATGCTTCTCCCATAGTCGAAGCGATAGAATACTTGCACACTGCTTGATAATAGGTAATGCTCGTTCCTTCAGAATTCAATTTCAACTATATACATTATTAAAACCGTGCATCTTTCCATGGAAGACCATCTCCATCTGAGAAGCGTTCCAGAGCTGAAAAGTGTTATAGCAAGTGTGAGTTTATTCAATAGAAATAACAGCAAAAAATGGAAGAAGCGAAGCAACGGAGGATACTGAAAAGATAATAACACCCACAATCCCAGTTGCTCCCTCCTGAAAATTCACCACTCACTACATAATGACAAGTGGATATTGACACCCACAATCCCAATTACAGCAAAAGCCCACCAAGGTGTAAACACTCATGGCTTTGCTTTGGGCTTTCCAAAAGGCCTCATACCAATGTAGTTAGTATTCCTCACTTATAAACTCATGATCATTCCCTAAATTAGCCGATGTGGGACTTTCATCATCCAACCCAACTGATTCATCTATCCTCTTACAAATTTCCTCCTTTACACTTCCGAACTTCACGTAAGGGCGAAAAGTCTGTGACTAGAAGTGAAGCCCCACATTCTGTAATGAAATTTGGTATGGTCTGTTCAGCTTCCCCCTAAGAATGCTAACCCAGAAAGCTATGAGCCATGCTCACACAAAACTAAAGAAATCAAAGATAAAGCAATCCTGATTGCAACTCCAATGGGAACAACCAATCCAGTTAGCATTTTGTTAAAATCTCACAGAAATCGAAGATATAAGATTACAAGTCATGGTGATTCATAAAGCATAAATGTATTTCATGAAATCAAACTAAATCAATAATTACATTTTCCCAGGTTCTCCAAACAGGGATAACGATAACAAACAACATTAGTACCTAAACTTAGACAACAAATTAACTCGCCTGGAACAAGAAGAAAGGTATTTGAATCGTTTCTTCAAGATCATGTTGAAGTTGTTGCAAGCCCCTTAGCATAAACCCTAATTGCCGAGATTTTTGCCCCCAAAAATTGATCGAATAAATTGAATGCCACAGCAACAGGAACATTTGCTTTGTTGGCCTCATCCACGGCGTGTATCAACGCCCAGTTGTCTTTTACTCGTTGATCCCTAAACATCCACTAAACCCCCGGACCCACAGGTCAATCTACAGTACCCGTTGCATCTTTCAAAACCC